TGGTCGTTGGGCCTGTAGTTGGCTCCTTAGTGACCGAAGATCCTGGCGTTGGCTTACCTCCTAGAGCAAACTGAACGCCGGAGGCTTGCTTTGACGCTCCGGTGCCGCTCATTGAAGCTGATGAAGACTTTCTCTCCAGGTAGCTCATTATTAAATCTATTAGTTTTCTCGGATCCTCGCACAGAGGTAATTGGTGACGTTGTGCCACCTCTTGGAGTTCGTCTATTGAGAGTTTGTCTAATTGTGCTCGATCTATTTTTGCTGATTGGAAAGGCGCGGGACAAACTGAAATCTTCTGCATCCTGTTCTTGCACGAAGGAGCGAAAAGCTGCGCTTCTTTCGCGAGTATCGAGAGCGCGAAAAACGGTAAAAACGCGTGTTGGCGTGGAGAACCTTGAAAAATCGCACAATCTACGCGGATGAATTCCGGAAGATCGAGGACGACGGAATCTAGGAGGAAAAGGATAACAGAAGATTTGACCTTTAGCAAAGGTATTCGTATTTATCTCTGTTCTGTTCCTCTTTGAGTTTGGGTTAATCCCACTTCTGAAATATTATTACTGTAAGATTATTTGTAGAAGAATTGTGTAATAGATTAATTAAATAAAAAGAAGAGATACTATACTTGTACCTTCTCCTTTCTTATTTATTTCAAATACTCTTGTTCTGAGGGAACTTAGGTTTGTCAGGGAGTTGGAAGTGAATAAGGAAATAGATGCTCCGTTTCTTATAAACGAACACTGCTTTTATTTCTAACACTTCTTACTCGTACAAATAACAAAGAATAAGGAATAGCTATTAAATAGTCGCGGCGGCCAATACTGGGCTTACTCCGACTCGTAAATTGCAGTACAGGCGAATTAGAATAAATGATTGACGAACGACCCGAGCGTTACCCCGTTCGGCAGTCGGAGACGACCGTGCTTATTGTTCGGAGATCGGAGACGAAACGTGCCACTGGTGCTCCTGTTTTCGGGCACGACGCGTGATAGTCGTTGGCGCCGCGTAACGGCGTGTGATATGATTATTATAATTGTCGGATGAAGTGGCAGGTGTCGACAGCGATTGATATCCTCGCAATTTCGAGCATTTAATATAATTATCTTACACTATTATATGTATTCTTACGTTTATAGATTATACATATAGATGGTGCAAAAACGAAGAAGCCTAAAATCACTGACTTCAATAATGGCACTTTGCCGTACGAACTAATAATACGCGCTAATACAATCGTAAATAATCTTGGTGCATATAATCTGACGGAAAAAATAATACAACCTCTCATAATTGATTTGCCAAATATTCCCTATTATTTGAATTCATACATCAGTAAGTATTACAACATTTATGGAAATCAATTAAAATCAATTAAAAATAATAAAATTAAAATAATAAACAATCTTAAAAATAAAATAATTTTATATTATATTTATTTAAAATACTTATATTAATAAAAATATATTATTTTCTAGTCACAAAAGGATTTATAAAAACTAATTTTAATTCAATTTCTAAAACAAGCGGTTACGGATCAATCAGACGGGACTCACAAATTGGAAGTTCAATTGACAAATTACGAAAATGAAATCTATTACGAGAAGGGTCAAGAAATACAGCTGAAGGGAATTGTTAAAATAACAAGTTAGTTATACTGTTAATAACAAGTTAGTTGTTAATCCTTTAAAATTTTTTAAAGAATCAAATAATTAAGTCATTAAATAAGTTACATTACGACTCAAAGATTAGTTGTTCTGTAAATAAACGAAATATTTATTTGTTCTGTCATTATAAGTAATGAATAGATCGTAATGTAACTTTGTGTTATTTTGAAAATAATATAAAGTATTTATACATAGAAACTTTGAAATTTTTATAAATTTTTTAATCTTTATATATTTTTTACTTTTTGTATTTTTTTAAATTTTGTAACAATAATACCAATAACAAATAAAATAAATAAACTATAAAAATGTGTTGTTAAAAAAATATAATGTATTAAACACAATTTTTTTATGTATAAAGTTTGTTTAAAGTATAAATATAATATTAATGACACAAGATCACAAAAAAAAATAAAGACTATTCTCGGAAGAAGACCAACTCTCTATATTTTTATATTTTAAAACAGATATCATTATTGGAAAATTTTAATTACGTCAAATATCTGAGATATATGGTACCAAATAATCCAAAATTGCATATATTATACTATAAATCATAAAATCAATATCTAGTTAAACTTAAAAACTCTAACAAGAAAATTAACTTTTTTTATATAATCATATTTTTTTTCTACAAAAGATCTTTGAATTGATTTTCTTTTATTTTATAGTTTACTTTCTTTTTTGTATAATACATTTTCGTAATAACCAGTAGTAATCCATATCATATAATCCATCGTGATATTTTCGTTCCATCTACTCTGATATCTTCGTTCATTGCTGGTTACTAAGGAAGGACACGAAAAAGAAAGCGAACCGCAAAAAAAAATTAGGAGGTTCTTTTTATAGATAAAAAAATACGATTACTCAAAAAAAAATGAGTAGGAAAAAGCAACGTTAATGAATTTTATTACTTTCGCATATTTATTAAATCTTTTTAAACTCGGTTTAAACTGTAGATAATTATACACTTCTTTTAACTACAAATATATTTTACAGACGATATCTTCTACATACATGTAGAAAACATGTCTTATATTAAATTATTATCGGATAAAAAGATGAGCTTTTCTGACTCCTTAAGAGGAACGACGCCCATTAAAAGAAAAATTACTACAAGTGATGAAAATGAAATAGCAAATAAACTACTTCACATATAATTTTTGCAAAAAATTAATATTGACTTGTTTTTATATAATGTAAGTATTACAATTATATCATAATTATATTACTCATATAAAACAAAATTGATATAATTTGGAAAAATATTATTAGTTTAATCAACTTCCCAGGTAAGGTTTGCCGACTCTCACCCGATGTTGAACGTTGGACCGACATTGGCGAATTCACGGCAAACCGACAGTCATTAATCGAACATGGTGCGACGTCGGCCCGACGTACATTAGCCGACACTTATTCGATGACGACCTTTAGCCAATGTCTGGCCAACGTTGGCACTATGTTGGCAACTGGTTGTTACGCCAACCTCGAGCACAGGCTAAGTTAGCCGACTCTTATTTCAAGACAACTTCAGGCCACGGCCGGGCCAAGGTTGGGTCAACGTTGGCAATATGTCGGCAACCAGTGGTGACGCCAATCACGGCGCGACGTCGGCCCAACGTACGTTAGCCGACTCTTACTTATTGACGAGGCTCGGGTCAACGTTGGCAGTATGTCGGCAACCGGTGGTCACGCCAATCACGGCGCGACGTCTGCCCAACGTACGTTAGCCGACTCTTACTTATT